CGAAGATGGCTCATTTTGTCGACCCTGGGTATGAATTTCTTCCTACCTGCTTGCCTTATAACTCGAAGAGGGACGTAAGGGTATGTTCCTCTTAGACCAATCAGTATTAGGAAAGGTGCATCTCTGGATCTGGAGATGAGCTCCGCTGTCAAAAACCACTCGAACATCCATTGAACCTGTTCTTCAGTCAGATTATCAAAGAGCTCAACCCATCCTTTGGCATTCTCAGGCTGAGCAAACATGTTGGGGATGTAATTCATTCGCTTTGGATGGTGGAAATCGATGTGATCATCCCAGGCCCTTCGTTGAATTTCTTGTCGGTATTCGCCATTTTGGAGATGTTCCATGAGCCAAAGCTAAAGTAGTAGATTGCAACCTTCGAAGTGTCTCGCTCCTTGTTGACACTTCTCTAAGGCTCGGTATATGTCTGCGATGATCATGGGTATAATGTTGAACGTCTGTCCACCAATTCCCTCTATTAGGGTTTTGGTTACCATAGCCAGCCTAGTATGGATTCTTCCTTTCTTCATTGGAAACACAATCAGACCCAAGAAGCAAAACATGAAGACGAAAACCCTACGATGGATATGTCCCAAGGACGTGATGGCAAACTCGTCATTGTAGGCACGATATGATTTGTTGTGACCATACCTTTCATACATGTAGTCAAAAGGGATGTACGATTCCTTCAGGCATACCAATTCAGCATTCTTCTTCAAACCCATCATTTTTAGGAAACCCTTGCCTGTGTGGTTCTCAAGCATTAGCAAACCCGGAGTTTCCCACACTAGACCAGCCAACCCTCCTATCTCCTCTAGCAAAGGTGTCATCTCGATGTCCCCAAAGTGAAACACGGCCCTTTCACAATCCCAAAATAAGGTAGCAGTTTCTATTATCATGTTGTTAGGCTGGATCTCCAAGAGGGATGGCAGATTACCCAGATATTTTCTGACGAGGGTTTTGTCACTAGAATGTAAATCTTCCCACCAACTTAGCAATATTGGGTGGATATTGGTGACCATGCCGAATCTGGGGACTTCGTGCCTCATATTTCTGCAAGACAAATAAGGTTAGGCCCTTACCCCCACCAGACTCGACTATTTAATATCAATAATTAGCATGAAGCATTTAGTTCTCCAAATAAATGCACAAAATGTGATGATGTCCATTTGGGTTTAGGGAAACCCAGTGGACTTTTGGACAAGGCTATCTTAATGGATCATTATGTGGACAACATAACTGACTCGGCTAGGTTTGACCATGATGCATGCACAATTTAAATAGAGTAAGGTTTCTATGGAGTTTTAGACTGGTACGCTTGAGCGAAAAACTCAAGGAGGAAGGCAGAAAACTGTCGACTGCACTGCTGATCGACTAGTTTTACCGCAAATAAGCCTTTCCGAATTTAGGGGGTAATGATATAGGATAGGGTGCAACCACTCATCAAGCGTTTCTATAGTATTTGTTTAGCACGAGTAGAGTATGATGTCGAGCATGATTATGCAGTAATTAAAAGCATGTTGACATGTATTTGCACATAAAGAAAGCGGCAAATACATCAGTTTTATAATTTAAAACAGTTATAAAGGAAGGAAACAAGAAAGATATGTCAGTTTTGCTTTTGAAAAAAAATTAAACGCTTAAAGGAATTAAAAATAATCGCATATAGGAGAGGTACAAATTCACAAAAACGGTGTGAAATGGTAAAAGCCTAAAAATTCCCAGCAGAGTCGCCATGCTGTCACACCCCTTTTTTTCCTCACGGAATCGGGTTCATGACATTTTGGTTATGGGGCAACTCTTTCCTTTTGGGAAAGGGGGTTTGAATTTTTGAAGAGTCGCCACCTAACGATTTAAGGTACATTAGGACATCTATAGGGTTCACTTATAACTAAGTTTGGTAACCAGAGATAGGGTAAGGGCTTGAAATTATCCCAAGGGAAAGGTGTTAGGCACTCCTCAAGATCCACTAATATGGTTCCCGGCCAAATAGTTTTTGTGAATTTGTACAATTAGCAAATAAACAAGTAGGGCTCAAATAATAGGGGATTTAAGTTTAAATACACAGGTGTAAGAAAACAACTAATGAAAAAACGAGATTTTGAAAAGAATTACAATCTAAGCATATTCATGAATGTAAAGGGGTGTCCAAGGTTTGTTTATAATATGGATCACATCAATGCAATACCCGGTATGACACTCCTCAAAGTGGTATTAACGCACCGGTCATCATATCCATATCTACCTTTTTCCGCCCCGTAAAGGTAATTAAAGTNGGGGGGTTCTAGGCAGACCCTCAAGTTTAAAGGCAAAATACTAGGCAACAAATAAGAACACATAAGACTGCATTTAGGGGGAAAACACAGAAACAGATAGAAGTCTCAGATGTACCTCCAGAAGTAATGCACATAGATAGCACGACTCATACATAGGTAAGGTTCACATTTGAACTCAGAATTCTAAAGCATGGTATCCAAGTGATAACAGCAGAACCAGAATTATTACATGACTCAGAAAAGAAGTCTGAATCAGGTTTGCATACTGATTTTAACACATTGACAATTAAACACTAATCATAAAGACAGTTCTGATTTTATTTAAAGTTGATTGCCTAAGGCCTGCCTAGGCGCGGAATACAGATGACTACAAGGTAGGTTTTTAAAGCAGACTCTTGAATCCTTATAGGCATGATATCTAATGCAAATCAAGGCAGTTTTTGAAAGAACTTGTTTTAGAGAACATAAACCATTAATTAAACCAGTTTCAAAACGAACGAAAACGCGGACTGGATTGATTTATTTAAATTAAACTAGTTGAGATCTATAGGCAACATTTCTAGAGTTATTCCCTATAGGCATGACATCACCGATTTTAGAAACTTTGCAGGCATGATGACCAATAAAAGAAAGCAAGTATCACTTATTATAACAGAAGCTAGATTAAATTATATCCTATAGGTAGGGCATCTATTTGTGAAACTGATTTCGAGACCTATTAAAAAATGATTTCTAACATGGCAAGGCAAGTATAGTAAAACCCTATAGGAATGATTTCTAACATGGTAAGGCAAGTATAGTAAAATCTTATAGGCATGATTTCTACCTGCCTTACCCCACAAACATGTAAATACCCGCCCCTTTCACTAGTTACCCCAATATTCATTTACAAATTATTACAGACCAACATTGAAATGAATTACAAAAGTAGAAATGAAAAACAAGAAGTTATACTATAGGGAGCCTAATTAAGACTTCCTCCCAGAGTTATGTGATAAATCACCTCAAGTGCCAAGATTGTTCCATAGTCTTTCTCATATCCGGGTGTGTCAGAGTTCCCTAAAGACCTCAAGGGATCCTGGGCAGTGCTCACACCTAGATTTCATAGCCAAGACCGAGTAAGTGCAGTGTGGAAAGGCCAGGTTTTATGTGTCCAAATTCAGAGGGAGCTCAAGGGTCCCAAGGCAAGGCTCACACAAAAGGGGCAGAACCTAGTGGTCTAAGAGTATATATGAGAGTGCTTGACATAGATTTCAAAAGAGTTGAGTTGGAAACAGTTTTGAAAAATTTGTTTGAAATAAGTTTGCAAAACAACAGAAGAGTTGCTTGGGGAAAAACAGTTTTGAAAGGAGAAGGGAATAAGAGCAACAATAACTTGGAACAAACCAGCACACACAGAACAAATTCAAAGAATAATATTACTTCAACATTCACAAGCAGGGAAGTAAGGGGTTGGGGACATAGAGAGCCCAAATCAGAAACACATAACATGGATGAAAAGAGATGCATATAGACCAGCAAGTACAAAGAACAGGTAGGAACAGTTCAACCTCCAAAACACAAACTACCACTTCAAAATGTTAACAAGGGAATCATGCTCGAAATTAGAATAGTAATAAGACATAGGGACATGGTATGGGAGTAGTAATGTTGAGGACAGGGGTCTATTACACATAATTAGTCATGCCACTTAGTATTAACCAAGCACATTTAAGAGTCTATAATGCTAACATGGCATACTAGTTGAGGGGAATAAAAAAGAACTCAAGTAGACATGCTTATTACATTTGAACAAGAGAGGGAAATACTTAAGCATGCTGAATAAAGCAGTAGACAAGAAGGGCACTTAAACACATGAGCCATTGAGTCAGTGCAGAAAGAGACATGGATTAACAGACATGAAGCACATAGAATTGAGTTTCAGAATTGAACTAGGAACATACCAGTTAAGTAAGCAAAGTGCAGAAAAGAAAAGCAAGTAGAGTTCCACAGTCTAGCCTTGGCTTTCAGCTGGCTAGACAAGCAGTTAACACAAATAGCAGAGAAAGAAGAGAGAGTTTGAGTGTGTGTGTGCGTGTGTGTATGTATTCTGAACTAATTGTTCGTGTCTAAGAGTCAGAATGAGAGTGCATATATAGGACTTAGGGAGATGAAATAAATAAGGTAAAAAAATAATCTAGAGTCCATAAATAAAGTAGAAAAATATAATCAACAATTTAATTGGGGCTAATCCCTATTAATTTTGCACAAACAGATCCGGGAAGGTCATGTTAATGCAAGGAGAATCCATTAGTAGCCCTGATTGGGCTTAAATAAGGTAACAAATCATAAATTGACCATAAATTAATCAATCAGTCGGTATAAGGCAAATAACTCTAATTACAAGCCACAAATAAGGAAAGTAAGTAAAAGAAAACCCCAAAGAATACTGACTTTAACGGGAAAAATTGATTCAAATCCATAACAGAAATCAACTAAGCAAAAAATCCCAAAGTATACTAGTTTTAACAGGAAAACTGGTTCAAATCCTTAATAGAAATCAATCAGTATGTTGGGTTGACAGAGATAAACAAATAACAGAGGAAAAATTGAAGGAAATCAGTGCAACAAATAGAAACATCTAGGTTTTAAGTATATACACAAGAATCAGTCAAGATAGTAAAGAAACAAAACTCTGAAAAGTTAGAAAAACCCTTTTGAAAACACTTAGGGCGACCCCTAATTTCAGAAGAAAGCGAATGGAGTCGAAATAGTTAGCCAGAATTGGAGATCTTCAAGAGAAAGTGACAGATAATACTCGAACCCTTTCAGATCTACAAAGATCTGAACAGATTCGAGTAGTTGTAAAACTGGGGTTTTCAAAAAACTGTTTAGATGAAAGAAACTTAGTTAAAAGCCATAGATTCGAACTGAAAATGGAAGGAAATCAGTACTCACAAATAAGAATGGCCCTAGACAGACCTGTAAACAAACCTCGGACGAAGGAACATGTTGAATCTCCTTGATATTATTTTAGGGACCCACGTAATCAACAACCAGGAGGTATAGAAGGGTGGTATTGGCCGGAGAATACTCAGAATCTCCATAGACGAGAGTGTCTCACCGGTGACGGTGATTAGGGTTAGGCTTAGGATTTGGGAGCATTTGAGAGGAGAGGGATCAGATGTCGGCGTGTGAGAGGAGTGAATGAGATGGTTTGGGGGGGTTAGGTCCAGGTTTAATTAAGGAAAAGGGAATGGGGACCGTTGGTCTGAATGATCAACAGTCATGATTGAATGGGGTAGGTGGGTCGGGTTAAGGACTTAGGGATTGGGTTGGGGATTTTGACGGATTGGGCCTGAGGTTTGGGTTGGTTTAATTGGGTTTGGGGCTGGTTATAATTTAAATAATGGTGGCTAGTTTTTAAATACTCAATTAAAGTTAGATAAATAAATAGTAAAAATAGCTAATAATTAGATAAAATAAAATTAAAGCTAAATAGGTGAAATTAAGGTAATTAAATAATATTAAAATTATAAAATGACTGATTATTGAATTAAAATATCATAAAGTGTACAATTAGGCTATAATTGCAAAATTATTGTAATTATAGCCAAACAATGCCAAATTGGCTAATTTGTGAAATAATTAAATCTTAGGATTAAAAATAATATATTGAGCTAAGAAATACTTTGAAATTACTTGTAATGTAATATATGAATAATTATTGGATATAAAATACTGAATAAATTAGAAAAATAAATATGGAAAATTATGGAAAAATATCAATTATTATAAAAAGTGATTTTGAAGGTATTTATGCAAATTTAAAAAATAGTTTGAGGAAAAATTGTATATCAACAAGTACTTCAGTGCTTCTAGCATAGCCATAACTTCAGCTTTAGTGTTTGTCCCTTCATGGATTTCCTTTACTTGTGCATGCAGGATATCACCGTATTTATCTCTCAACACAAAACCAAAAGAACTCCTTCCTGGATTTCCCCTTGATGCCCCATCAGTATTCACCTTCACCCAACTTAGTTCAGATAATTCCCATAAGACCTTCGCACCTTCAACTTTGGCATGTAATGCTCCATAACATGTTTTAAATCTAGCCATTTGTGAGGAACATTTTGTAAACTTGGTTTCCTTAGTCTTACCAGATCTGGTAGTGTAGATGAGATCTAATAAATCACCCTACTTACTGTCTCTGCCTCCCCATGCGTATAGCTATTCCTTCTTTTCCAAAACCCATACTATAATCGAAGGTAAAGCCTGGAGTATAGGCTTTAATCTAGATACCACATGAGCTGCCCAACATTTTAGGACTGTCTTTTGCATCGACAATCCTTCCATATTAATGCCTACATTTGAGAGAAAATAATGCCATACTGTCTTAGTTGCTTATGATCTAAATAGTACATATGACATTGTTTCCTCTGATGGATTAATACAACACCAACATTTGGATGACATGAAATATCCAGTCTTCTAAAATAGTCATCAAAAGGTATCTTGCCTTTCCAAACCTTCCACACGAAGAAAGCAATCTTAAAAGACAAACCTCTCACCCATAAAATTTTGTAAGCAACACTACAATCTCTTCTCCTTCTAATATAGTCCCAAGCAGTTTTAACACTAAAGTTGCCACTAGTATCCAACATCCAGTATGGTCTATCCAATTCATTATGTAGTATAGGAGGTTGATGTTCTCAATTACATGAAGTGCTAACTCTTGAGGAAGAATATCCAGTAACCTACCTTTATCCCAGAGCCATCTACTATCATATCATATACGTTATGGACAAATTCATCACAACAAAGTAACAAAGTACAATGATCCCAAGCCTGTTCAGTTATCAAGCCAAAACAGTGAAGAACCCATCCTTGGATGCCATATTATTTTGTGTTCAATACCACCCCTACATTAAAGCATCTTTCTCCACACATGAGATCCATTTCTCCAAGAACCACTAATGCATTCAATTATTTGCAATATTTTTGACTCATGAATGTGCTCCACAAAATAGGCTTTGTTCTAAAGTTCCACCATAGTTTACAAAATAAGGCTTTAGATACATCATGTAACGATCTAAATCCAACCACTCCTTCTTGTGGCAAGCATAATGTGTCTCATGATGCCCAATGTTTAGCTCTTTCTCCTACTGAATTACTGCAGAAAAAAGCAAATAATTTATATAGTTTATTAGTAACAGAGGCTGGAGGGTTCACAATTGACAACTAATGTATTGGCATGCTTTGAAGAACATGTGAAATCAATACTGCCTAGCCACCAATCGATAAAAGTTTACCTTTCCAAGATTAAAGCTTGTCAAGCACTTTGTTAACTGTTACATCTTGCATTTTCATACGTTAAAAGTTTTGTCTTCGGTTAATTGACGTAGACTCGGAGATGAGATCATCTTAATGTTAACGTACTTATGCTATTTATAACAAGTGATAAATAAGTGTTATGAAGGATAAATGGGTATACTGATTAATGAAAACGAGTTTCGTTGGAAGTGGCCAATTTGGAATAAAATACGGGTCGAGCGATAATACCCGATAATTATGAACTAGTATCATGCAAGGTACCATATGACCACGGTAGTATAATGTATAGAGTATATATATAGTATATTAAAAATAAATAGAATTTTAAGTAATTTGGGGTAATTTTTAAATTATGCGGGTAATTGATTAATTACCGGATAACGAGACATTACCCCGTTAACTAATAAGTGGATAAAACTTAATTAATTATAAGACACGCGGCAGCCCTCCCTAATCAAGATAATGACTCTTAAAATCATTTGAGAGCTGACAACCTTATGCCTTATATTGAAGACACCTCTTATAATATATTAGTTTGTAATGACCAAGTCAATTATCACTCAAAATACATTCTGAAACTAGACAAAACATAGTAACCTTTCATGTTACAAGTATTATCAAGAGATGGAAATGGCAAAAGTTGGTGTTATGACTTTTCTTGTTTAAAACTTATGAACAGAATCAAATTCGTCCAACTTCAACAAATCCAAGCAAAGTCTTGTTCCAATTTCAGAAGCAGAAGCTTTAGTTTCTTGTTCCAACATATTTCACGGAAGTAGAAGCTTCACTTCGATCAAGTAATTCAAGGAACGGGTATGTTAAGGCCCTCCCTTCTTTCTTTTGGCATGGTCCAAATTATACTGAAGAAACAAGCAAATACACAGTTTCTATAAATTACTCTATTCAAAGAAATAGTAGGGATGTCTATATTCTTGATTCCCCATGAGAATTATTATTATCTTCTGTTCATGGGTCTTAGGATAATACGCAGTTGGAAAAGTTTATCCGGAAGGAGTATTAAGTTTTTTTACATATTTTTCATATATTTCACTCATTTATACATGTGCATTTGCCCATGACCAGATGGCGTTATATATATATATGTATATATGCAATTATATGTATATGGGATATGGAAAAAGGTTACGACGTTATATACGTACCACCACCTGATCAGCTGGTATATGTTGATGATATTGCCCCCAGTGGTCGAGATGATATGATGGGATGCCCTCAGTAGTTTGATGATATTATGTACACCCATACATATGCATGGCACAACATTTATATGCACGTGCATGATATTATAAACATTTCAGAATTTACGAGTTATTCAGATTTAAAGATGTGTTTCCTTATTACATGTTTCATCTATGTCTTTTACGTACTAATTTTGATGCCTTACATCCTCAGTACATTTTTCATACTGACGCCCTATTTCACGGGGCCTGCATTTCATGACCGCAGGTGTAGGTAGGCAAGCTGACGGTCCCCCTTCTTAGGATCCCTGATCACCGAGAGTTGGCGTGCTTCACTTGATCCGGAGCTGCTTTTGATTTTGGTACGATACGTTTGTGTATATATATATATGTGTGTATGTATGTATGTATGTATATGGGTATGACGTGGCTCAGTCCCGTCTTTGAACAGTTATGTTTCTATTAGAGGTCTGTAGACAGTATGTCTAGTTGAGTTGTATGTGGCCTTGTCGGCTTTCAGTTTTGGATGTATAGTTATCTATTGCAGCTTTGCCGGCTCGCCCACTATATTCTGCCTATATACGTACATATGCCTTGATGGCAGGTTTCCTTCTTGTATGTTATTTTTGTAATTTATTAGATGTTACTCAGGTTCATATCTAAGATACATGATTAGGGGTGTTTGACAGGTAGGACTCAGGCACCAGTCGCGGCCCATCGATTTGGGTCGTGACAAAAGTAGTATCAAAGCAGTTCTATCCTAGGGTTGTCTATATACCGTGTCTAGTAGAGTCTTGTTTATGGGCGTGTCGTGCATCACACTTATAGACAGGAGGCTACATGACATATAGGATGTTATCCTCTCTTTTTATCTCAGATCGTGTGATACAAGAATTCATGTTCCTAACGATATGTTATATTTTCAGCGATGCCTCCAAAGAGTACGGCTGCCCAGAAAGGAAAGTCCATGGCTGGTGAGACTACTAGTTGAGCGCCATGAGTTACTAGGGCTCGGGGAGAGTCTCAAGGTGAGGTTTCATCTCACATTTCACATACCCCACCTTTTCTAGAAGAGCTCCGAGGGGTACCAGCTCCAGCACCCGCCCCTGTACATTCAGCACCTTAGCCGTATGCACCGGGTCAGGAGATGAGAGATGCTATTTAGTTATTGACCCGATTAGTAGCCATATAGGCTCGAGGTCAGGAAGTAGGTATTGGTCATGAATATATGTCTATGAGTGCGAGGGTTCATGACTTCATTAATTTAGACCCTCCGGTATTCACTGGATCAGATCCAAACGAGGACCCTCAGGTATTTATTGATAGAGTGCAAAGGACGTTACGGGTAATGAAGGCCACTACAACTGAGTCAGTTGAGCTAGCTTCCTATAGACTCCGAGATGTTGCAGTTAATTGGTATGAGTCTTGGGAATTGTTTAGAGGTGAGGATGCTCCTCCAACAGTATGGCAGAAGTTTACAAAAGCTTTTCTTCGTCATTATCTGCCAGTAGAGCTTAGGCGAGCTAGAGTTAATAGGTTCTTGACCCTTCGGCAGGTTAACATGAGTGTTCGGGAGTACATTCTTCAGTTTGATTCGTTGGTTAGATATGCTCCCACAATTGTATTTAAGATGGAGGATCGGGTGCACCAGTTTGTGATGAGGTAAGAGCCTTACTTGCTTAATGATTGTATATTGGTCTCACTTCAGCCAGACATGGATATTTCTCGTATTCAGGCATACGCTCAGGGTTTAGAGGAGCGCAAATAGAAATAGAGGGCTGATTGTGAGCATGATAGGGCCCAGAATAAGAGAGCGAGATCTTCGGGTCCTTTTGGTGAGTTTTGTGGTAGTCAGAGGCAGCAGTACTCGAGGTATCCATCCCAACCCTCAGCTAGCGCACCCCCTCAGTTTGGCGGTAAGAGATTTGATCGTCCTACATATTCAGGGTTTGGTCAAAATTTCAGGGCCTCAGGTTCTCAGTATAGGGGTGAGTCAAATCAGATGAGGCCACCCTTGCCACGATGTACTCAATGTGGTAAGCAGCATACCGGGCAGTTCCGCATGGGTTTAGGTGTTTGTTATACTTGCGGTTATCTGGGCCACATTATGAGGGATTGTCCAATGAGAGGTGATGCAAGCATAGCTCAGCCGTCGGGATCTGCAGCTAGTTCATAATCATCAATACGCCCCCCTGGGAAAGGTCCCCAAGCACCAATGAGTCATGGTAGAGGCAGAGGCGGAGCATCTAGCTCGAGCAGCCCTCAGAACTGCATTTATGCATTGGCAGGACGACATGACCAGGAGTCTTCGCCTGATGTTGTTACATGTATATTATCAGTCTTCTCATATAATATATATGCATTGATTGACCTAGGTTCCACCTTATCATATGTGTCACGACCCAAACCGATGGGCCGCTACGGTCACCCGATACCTTACTCAACCGAGTACCAACATAACGTATCTTTCTTATTGCATCATCATATACACGTGATATACGGCCTAATAGGCCAACATAATCATTTATAAACTCAAAACATAGGCTGAAAAGGCCGTACAATCTTTCACATACATGACATATGTCT